CCAGACACATAATGTGCCGTGTATGTTACTCTTGTTGTTTGCTAACATACTTTGCTAATGCTAACTTGCACACACCACTGCATTTAAATATCAGTGGGAGTTATTAACATGTGATGAAACCTAAATCAGTTAATACATCCTTTCATTGAACTTCAAACCCTGTCCCCCCAAAATATGAAACACCAGCTCTAAAAGTTGACAATTAAAGTCAAATGAATATTTTGAATTCTTGGATGTGAAGGGTGGATGTAACTCCTGATGTTTCTGGAGGCTGACACCAGTCAGGTGTTAACTTTGCTAATTTAGTGCCAACATACTGACCCTATTTGTTTTTACCTCCCCAGGGGAAAGCTATGTTTGCGCATCAGAGAACTTCTACAAGAAAGTAGATTACACGAAGAACGTCAACCCCAACTGGTCTGTGAACGTGAAGGCCTCGGCCAGCCAGAAGAACCTGCAGTCCTTGGCTTCCAAAGCTGCCAGCGAGTCCCGAGAGTGCAAAGACTTTGTCCGGCCCAAGCTCGTCACGGTGATGCGCAGCGGCGTGAAGCCGCGCAAAGCCGTCCGCGTCCTGCTGAACAAGAAAACGGCGCACTCCTTCGAGCAGGTGCTCACCGACATCACGGAGGCCATCAAGCTGGAAAGCGGTGTCGTCAAGAGGATTTACACGCTCGATGGCAAGCAGGTAAGACCCACTATCAGTTGTTGCTCGGCTCTCAGAGGAAAAGGCCAAATTATGAAGAGCGCTACCTTCTAGAGTTCAAATGCGTCAAGCTGTGGAGGTATTAATCAACATGCACTGGTTTCAGTTTTTGAAGAACAGAGGTTGCATCATAGACTCTCTAACCAAAGCTGCACAAAAGGAAAATCTGTGGTCAGGGTTGAGGCTAGTTTGCCTTTCATTCAGGTTCATTTAACCGTACATAGGCAGGTATCATGAAGATGAAAGGAGGGATTCAGCTGGAGATGACCTGATGTTGACTCTTTACCTCAGCTCACTGAGGTCACAAGTCCATGAGAACCACCTTTGTGTGCAACGATTCTCACGATGAGCCGTCTTTATGCTCACTTCTGGTTTCAGGTTATGTTTGCTCTCGTCTTGTGGTTCAAGACTTTCACGTTGTCTTCACCAGCCTTTGTTGTGGAGTTCGGTTTGTGTGTCCGTCATCGAAATACAGAAAAAGTCCTGGGGCGTTCGGTCTTTACATCGCCGCTGTGTATAAAAGGCGAAGCCCTGCATTGTTGTGGTTCGTCATATTGTCCTCCTTGTTACTTTATTTGAGATGGTGCGAGCTGACGTGAGAAATTAGAGCAAATCTGAAAGAACTTTTTGACACCAATAATTCTACTTAAACAGGAGGCGAGTAACTGAAATCCTGTTGGCTACAAGTACACCCTGAAATGTGTTTGAATTAGACTTTGTCATCTTTTCTTCATTTTTCACCATCTTAGATCCCATTCCTACCTTCTGTCAATCCTCGAGAAAATCTCTCATTTGAGATGATGCGTTAGTTGATTTAATGTTTAAAGTAAAACATGGTTTTGTGTTTCAACGGAAGCCACAGAATAAAGGTTATATAGCCCCACACATAACTGTTGGGAGTGTATCATGTACATTTACTGTGACGGGTTGATGTTTGGTACAGGTACAAGGAAGTAGATGACTAGTATGTGATATCTGTTCTCATCTAGAATCAGGTGCAAGTTTGATTTACCTGCATTTTTTTTGGGTACACTATGAAAAAATAAAGCAAAGGAAGGTTCTGTTTATTTCTTTCAACTCAGTCGTGTGGGGAAAAACTTCATGATACCACTGATTCTGAAATGCTGCAGCAGATGAAGAGAGGCACCTGTATGGCAAGCATTTGTGTCATGTAATCAGTGCTTTCAAAAGTAATGTAGCAATCCATTAGTATATTTTCAACATTCTTCAGTCAGGTCATCTGGACAGTTTCGTTTTTTGTGCTGAAACGTTTCAACTTCAATCCAGAGGGCTTCATGAGTCAAGGAAATACACAACACAAAACTGATTCTTCCCCCAACAGTTTACTCCAAAGTGGAACAAACCAGTTATGTTGGTCCTAAGATGGTGTCTTTGGCACGCCCCCTTCTCCATTGCCGACCCTCTTCCTTGTTGACAGTCATGTCAAACTGGTTGAAAACAACAAAGTCCATGCTCAATAATCCAGGTATACAATCCAACATTCTTCAGTCAGGTCTGACTGAAGAATGTTGGATTGTATACCTGGATTATTGAGCATGGACTTTGTCATTAGTATATTTATTTATCAGTGACACAAAGCATCATTTTGTTGTCACACTTGTTGTTTGATACATCCTGCAGATGTTTTCAACACAAGATTGAAAGTAACAGTAAAATGTGACTTATTTTTATGTATTTTACAGTAAAGTTAGTTGCTGATAAATTCTACCTTGCTGTTCATCGCCTTAGAGCTTCCCCAC